GAACAACCTCTACTGCATTTGATGTGGATTAGGAATGGATTCCCATGCTTTGCTCACATCTTCCAGCAGCACCAGGATTCTACTTTTTGTCTCTGCTTGACCGTAAATCACTGCTGACCCACCTCTCCCTAAATAGGGTGCATGCTCTCAGGGCTATTCACTGCCTGGTGCCAGAGTCAGGCCTTCTCCCACATTTCCATGGACATGCATGTAGCAAGTGCTACTTCTGTAAATGGCCTCCAATGTGCAGAGAGAGAGTGAAGGGCATGCAGCAGAGCTGAATAGTCCTCTCTGGATCGTGGTGGGGAAAAAGACTTAGAGAGGAAGGTGATGTTCTGCAAGAAAGAGAGCAAACAGCACTGACTGGAAGGACGTGTGAGACCCATGGGATCTGCATGGCTACTCAGATCCCAAAGACAGCTACCCCCACATGCTCAGAGTTTGTTCTGTGTATACCTGCTTTTCTTTCCCTCTCTCCCCCACTCTGTCTGTGTTTGGCTTTGTTCTTTCTTATTTCTCCATTCTGCTTTCCCCTATCACTTGCCCTTAACTGTACATATGGGCAGCAGAGAAATCCAGACAAGCTATAAAACCAATTTACAATGAAAAATCACCCACTACATCACTCAAATACCCATAGACACATTTCACTTCCCTGTGAGACTCCTGCTGAAGAGATTTGGTGGCAGCACAACTCTACCCATTTGTCTTTATGAAAGCAAAGTCTGTGCCACAGATGCCAGTAGGGAACAAAACCCTGACAGAAGCATTGCATTTGCAGTTCTCCAAACAAACACTGCACCCACACACACAGGAATATTCCCAGCAATGGCTCCAGAGTAGACCTCTGCTGACAACTGAACGTGCAGCTTCTAGTACTGTCTCACACAGCCACATGTGCCTCCCCTCAACACCGCACGCTAGGAGACTACAGACAGGAACATGATGAACACAGCTGTCTCTTGGGTCTGAATAACTCCTCCATCCATGTCTCCTTGCAGCAGTATATGGGGATTGTGAAGGCGGTGTGTTCTTCCTTGACTCAGCTGGAGCAGCAGAGTCCAGCCCAGGGAACAGACTATCACCTGGGGGAGAAAGATAAGAGTAGAGTACCTTGGGATGCTGGAGGACTGTGCTTCTCTCAGAAGAGAAAGTGTACAGACATTTTCTCTCCAAGGAGATATTTAACCCTGGTTGTTCCTGAGTTATTTTTCTTTCAGAGAGATCATTTTTGGTCTGTGAGAAAAATCCTGAACATCTGTTTACTCATCTGAACACTCATGGTTTCTGCTCGGCTTCCCTGCCGGCGTCTTCCCCGCTGGTCTTCTCTGGCATGGGAATCCTTTGCAGCTCCTGCTGCCTCCTCCGCTACTGCTGCCAGCCTCCCTGCCAGCATCTTCAATCCCTGCCGGTCTTGCCCGGCTTGGGGATCTGCACAGCTCCTGCAGCCACCGCCGCTGCTGACTGCAGCAGCGGGACAGTGTCCGTCTGATGGTTCCCCGCCAGTCCTCCAGCCCTTTGTGTCCCCATTCCTGCGCTTTCTGGACTGATTTTTATCTTCACTGGGTGACGCCTCCTTGTTGCGTCACCCAGTCCCAGCTGGAGATGGGTGCAGCTGATAAACTGCTCAGGCGGTTTTTCACAGCATGCCTCTTCGCTCCCCCAGGCCCCTGCAGCAGGTTTTTCTTTTTTCTTTTTCTTTGATCAGGGGTCAGCCTCTGACTGAGGCTTCCCTCTAGCCTGACCCTGTGTCCCTGTGACATAGGTCATGACATCACTGGAGTCAAGAGTTCACTGGGTCTAGAACTCTCCCTCCTGACTCCTAGTCAAAGGAAGCCTCAACACTACAGTCTCTCAATCACAAATTTCAATGGGAAAGTTGAGGCCAGAAACTGGGCCAACGTTGAGGTCATACCCAATGGTTGTAGGTGGGGGTGCTCACTTGGGGTCAGTACCATATCTTGGGTAGTGGAGCTTGGGAGGGTGGAAAGTTTGTCAGGAGTAGAGGGGCTAGGAACCATGAATCCTGGGATACTGGATGACTGCGTATTAGTCACTTTATCTCCATAGTACAGACTAGCAATAACCTAGCTTGAGATACCACTGAGGTGTTCAACCTAACCCTCCTCTAAAATGGCATATTCTTTAAGATGCTTAAATGGTACTTAGCACAATTTAACCCTCTTTAATGCATGGACACTCCAGTTTTAAGTGTCTTGAGAACAGTTTAAAGGTAACATGTAACACCACCCCTACAGATTCTGTGTCTGATCTTGGAAAAGATAATTAGGCTCACATTTTCAAAACATTTCACAGACTATCTTAGTTATCAAATTTAAGCACAGGGGTGTCATTGGAATTATACCATGGATAAATCTGACTCTTGGATTCTGATTTTTAGAGGCATTGGGTGTCTTGAACGCCAAATGTAGTGAAGTGCTGTAGAACTGTAGTAGGGTTACCATATTTTCAGCTCCAAAAAAGAAGACACCTGTTGCAGGGACACCTCACTCCCAACCCACATCCCCCTGGCCCTGCCAGTGCCCCTCACTGATCCCATGCGCACAGCCTAA